TAGTTTTGAAATAAAAAAGATAAAAGTATTATATATAATTTGTTTAATAATTTTTTATTCAATTAAGTATTTAAATAGTAAATAAAATTTATATAGTATAATTAAATGTTTATAAATTTTATTTTATTATTCAATTAAAAAATATATTTTTTTAAATTTTATTACCTATAAAAAATACATTTTACTAAATATAATATTATTAGCAAATATTTCATTTTTTCAAAAAAAATATTATAAAATCATATAAAAAATCTTGTTAAGTTAGCAAATATATAAAAGGAGTATTTTAAATAATTATCTAATTTTTTTTTATATATATAATATAATAATATTAAAAATTATCAATTATATAGTAATTTATTCAATAATATTTATTTTATTAATTATTATAGCCTTTGTTTATTTAAAAAAATATATAAACGTAAAATTATTAATATCTTAAAAAAATTAGAGTCAAATCAAATATAGAATACTTTAAAAATAAAAATATAATATTTTAATTAATAAAGTTTTTATGCATATATTAATAACAATAGAAAATATGATTTTCTATCTATCAAAACCTAATTAATAAATATAAATAATAATAGCTAAATAAAAGCTTAAGCAGATAATTAGTTAAATAATTAATATGGCTAAATATTAAATATAAATGAACCTTATAAAAAAACAGAAAATATGAATTTATTTAAGAAATTATTAAAGATTAATATTCAGGTATATGTATAAAGAAAACTCATGTATTTAAATATAATTAACAAAAGAAAAAGAAAGAGTTTTGGGCATTATAAAAAATCAATTATTTGAGAAAATATATAAAAATTTATTTAAAAAAAAAAAAAAAAATCAAAAGTAAATTCAAGAATGTTTATTTTGTTAAGAGATGTGAAGAAAGTATTTAATCAGCATTATTTTTATTCTTTTATTTAAATAATAGATTTATCAATAAATTTATAGTAAATTAATAGAATAAAATTATATTTAAAAAGATAATTTAAATTACTTTTGTAATAATAGTTTTACTAATTTATAAAAATTATTATATATTATTTTATTAATTATATATATTGTATTTCTTAAAAAAAAAATCTCAATCAATAATAAGATATTACACATTTATCTTACCTATTTTTTTTTAAATAATAATTATTATAAAATATATAAAAATATATATATATATATATTAATAAATATGATACTAATATATATTTTGTAAATTAAACTATAAGTTATTCTTAACTAAAATAAAAATAAATAAACATTTTTAAATTAATAGTTAAATTAATTTTTTTATAAAAATTATAAATTACAATTTTTAATGCTTATTATTTAAAATATGATATAGTTTATTAACAGTTTTTGGTTTTATAAAAAGATTTTTTGGGTATAAATATAAAATTTAAAATAACATTTTAATTTTTAATAAATTCATTTAAAATAAATATAAAATGTTTATTCTTTTTGTTTGGGGAAGAAAAATTCTAAATCATCATTAATAAGTAAAGTATAATATTAATTAATAAGCTATTATGTAAAATTTAGGATAACTTTTTATCAGTTTCGCTTATTTAATTTAACAATAATTATTATTATAAGAGAATTTTTTCAGAATTAAGATAAAATATATTTTTTAATTTATAATACATAAAATTAAAAATATTTTATATATAAATTGTAATGTATATTTTAAATATTATTAATTCATATTTTTAAGTGACCATTCTTTTTTAAAAGTATAATTAATTTATTTTTTTCATTATAAAAATTAGAGAATAACTAATAGAAATTTTTCTAATTAATATAAAGTTTATTTCTTATATAAAAAATTCAATTTATGATTTATGATATATTATTCATGCTAACAAATAAAATATTTTTAGTTAAATTCAATCTCCTTCCTATATACTATTTCTTATTTAATTTTTCAAAGAATTAAAGAACAGAAATATATGTTATAAGATTAACCAAAATAATTTTAACATTAAAAAAAAAGGTTTTAGTAAAAAATTTATTTGCCACGAAATGAAAAATAGGATGAATGAGAGGATGTGTACGAAAAAAAATTAAGTAATAAAGACATATATCAGTTTATAACAATCTCCTTAATATTTCTTACCGAATTAATAATTTATAAAAAATTTATTAAGATTAAAACAATAATTAAATAAAATACATTTTATTTAAATAATATTTATAAATTATAATTTTATTATTTAGAATCTATTCATTATTCATTTTTAAGTTTATTTAAATTTTCGTAAAGAAATGTTAATATTTATATATTTTCCTGAATTGATATATTTTTAAATTTATTAATTATTTTATAAAAAAAAAATCGGAATTTCTATTAAATTATTTAATTTTTTAAATTTGGATATTTATATTTTACTTTCAAATATTTTGCATAATGTTTCTTATAATTTTCTTGTTTTAATATGATATAATTATTCCTATATCCGAATACTCTTAATGATTTATTATATAAGCTAATTTTATTCAATATATTAAATATTTAATCATAATTTTAATTTAAATCATTTACTTAAAATATTTTTCATAGAAAATCATTAAATTACTTATATTTATTATCATTTAAATTTAAATAATTTTTTTTTTACAAATAATTAATATATATATATTTTTTATAGATTATTTAATAGTTTACGACAATTTTTTCTTTTTCTTATTTGATTAATAATTATTTGTAGAAATATAATGATATTTTAAAAACTTAGACTTTTATTTCATAATATTACATAAATCTATAGATTTTATAAAATTCTAATCATATTATTCAATTTATTTGAAAACAAAAAATTTACAAAGTATCGATTTAATTAATAATGATGCTTCCAAAGCGTGCGTATCATCTAGTTATACATTCAAAATTTTTTTACTTATTATTTATCATTATTAATTATTTAATTATTCAGTTTTTTAATTCTGTTAGTTTCAATGCTTATTATAATTTTATTAAAATTTCTACCCCAATCGATATAAGCATCTTGTATCAATTTAATTTAAGATAACTAAAATTTATAATTAATTTTAAATATTTTCTTTGATTTTCTGACTTATTATGCACACCCCCCCCCCCCGTTTGCAAAATTACAAATCATCAATTATTTTTTATTTTATTTTAATGGTTCTATAATTTTATTATGATTCTATACTTACAATAATATATAGAATGCCTATTATAAATTTTAATTTACTAAAAATAAATAATAATAAAATAAAATATTGAAAATTAAATTTAATATTGCTAATATTTATATTATTTTAGTGATTTTATGATTAAAAGCCAACAAAAAAATCAGAAAAATTATAAATTAATATTAATAATAATAAAAAATTAAAATTTTATAAAATTTAAAAACATAAAAATATAAAAAATAAAATTAATATTTGTTTTATTAATTATAATATATTTTACATATAATAAATTTTATGATAATTAAAATAAAAGACTTACTTCAAAATATAGAAGCTTGAAAACTTTTATATCATTTGCTGATAATATTAGATAAATAAATATACTTTTTTTATAGATATCATTTATTAATTAAATTTTATATAATATTAATTATATTTTTCTTCATAATACAGTAATTGATTTAATTTTTTTTTTCAAAAATATCATTTAAACAAGCTGAGCCTCACGGAAATAAAATCATATGGTATTCAATTAATTCTATTTATTTATATTTTTTTTTCATTTCATTAAAAAACATTATTTTAATAAAAAAATTATTTTTTAAATATTTTGGATAAAAATTAGATATCAAAGATCCATCTAACTAATATTAGACATACAATTTTAATTTCATATTTTTTATAAATATTATTTATAGAATTGAATGAAATTATTTTTCTCCTTATTATACTTTTCTCATCAAATATTATTTTGTTTACATTTTCTTTTTCTTTATTTTTTTAATAAAAAGCTCAATAAATAAAAAGATTGGAAGGCAAACGAATAATATGCACTTTTTTTATTGATTAAATTTAAAAATAAAAATACAGAACAATAAAAAAAGAAATATTAAAAATCATCTAAAAATAAAAAAGATTTAAAAAATATAATTAATTTTATATATTTAGATATTACCTAAAATATTTTTTTGTCTATACTATTTTTTAGTTTTTATGTTTTTATATATTAACTGCACTTTTTTAAAAAAATTACACTCATTCAACATAAAAAGGTTGTTAGCCGTTTTTTCTCAGATTTTTTTTTTGTTGATTGAGTTTTTTTAAAAAAATAAAGAAAAAATAAAAAAAAAAATATATATTTTAAAGTATTATAACTCTATCAACCTATCTTAGTGAAATGATACCTAATTATTTAGATGTATTTTGCTAATATAGGTGTATTATATAATAATATTATTAATGGGAATATGTTCTACTTTATTAAGACTTATCCTATTGTTTTTAATTATTCTTTTTATCCTTCAAATTTTTTTTTTGGATACTATAAAATATAATATATATATTTTTTAAAGTAAGGAAAACTAAATTTTACAATTATAGGCTAAAGTATTTTTTATAATATAACTATTAGATAAAAAAATTAGAATATTTTATTGTACGACCTGATAATTTAATCTAAATTAAAAATTAAAATAAAATGTAATCACTGATATTATCAAAAACAAATATTTTTTTTTAATAAAATAATAGGTTTTTAAAATACAATTTTATTATGGAATAATTTGTAAATAAAATTTTAATAAATATTATTAACTATAAAAATATAAAATGATAAAACAACAAAATTAAATTAATATTAATAATAAAAAATAAATATATATATCTTATAATAAATAAAACAAATTCTTCATATTTGTTTTATTTTAATATTTTTAAAAGTATTTTGATATAAAATTAATTATATTTTGAAAAAATCAAAAATATGATTATATAAAAGGTGAAATTATTTTAATCTCAATATAAAATAATTTAAAAGATATAAAAAAAAACACTAAAAGAGAAATATGGTAATTAAAATAAAAAATAAAATAAAAAATATAAATCTAATTAATATTAAAGGTTAGAGGTCCTAAAAAACATTTAAAAAGAATCTGTGCTCCTAAATCATGGATGGTTAGCAAATTAGGAGGAATTTGGGTATTAAAATATTTACATATAATTAAAAAATTATATATTAATCATATAAAAATAAATCATAAAGGTAACTAGACCTTCTTAAGGTCCACACAAACTTAGAGAATCATTACCTCTATTTGTATTATTAAAGTAAAGAATAAATAAAATTATATATATATATATATATATATTTTTGTAAATAAAAAAATCGAGATTAATTAGAAAAAAAAAAAAAATTAAAGCAAAAATTAATTTCTTTATAAAAAAAAAATAGAAACAGATTAAATTATGCCTTGAACGGAAGAGATGTTACTTTAATTTTAAATGATAAAGAATAAAACGTGTTTGTTGATGGCAAATGCAGAAGAGATAGAGGATTCCCAACTGGTCTTATGGATGTAGTAAATATTCCTAAAACAGATGAAAATTTCAGAGTTTTATATGACACTAAAGGTAGATTTGTATTAAAAACATTAAACAAATAAGAAGCTTAAGTAAAAATATAAAATATATATATTTATATTTTATATTAAAATAAAATTAAATGATATATAGTTCAAATTACTTAAAGTGAAAGGAAAAGCAATTGGACCAAATTAAGTTCCCTATATTGTTACTCATGATTCAAGAACCATTAGATTCCCTAATCCAAATATTAAAATTGGTGACACAATTAAATATGATTTAGTAAAAAATAAAATTCTTGAACATACTCACTTAGAATCTGGTAATATCTGCTTTGTTTAAAATGGTAACAATATTGGCAGAGTTGGTCTTATCACTCACATTGAAAAACATCCTGGTTCTTTTGATATCGTTCATGTCAAAGATAGTAAAGGAAACTCTTTTGCTACAAGAATCGGTAATATCTTCGTTATTGGATAAGGAAAAAAACCTTGGATTAGTTTACCTGAAGGTGAAGGAATTTATGAAACTGTTATGGAATAAAGATAAAGAAAATTCTCTCATTGATTTACTTTTTGAGAGTTTAATATTAAAAATAACATTTTTTTGTTTTTTTATAAATTGTATTTTCCGATTATAAAATAATAGTAGCAATATAATATGTATTATTTAAACTATTTTTTCTAATAAAATTTTATATATATCTTTTTATTTATGACTTTTTTTTTTTTCAAATATTATATTGGAAAAAAAAAATGTATATTTTTGAAATTAAAAATAATTTTATTTTTTTAAAATATGTTTAAATGAAGAGCAATTGTAGCAAGTATTTCAAATGATAGTTAATTTTTTTAAATGAAAAGTAATTTTTTATTTATTTTTTATTATAAATTTTAAATATATACGATAAAATAAATTTTATATAGATATTATATATTATAAATTTAAATAAATTCACTAAAATAATTTCGAAAAATAATAAAGTTTTTAAATTTTTACTCCTTTCTTTATTTAAATATAAGTTTATTTAATTTAAATTAATAAAACTATGTTTAAATATTTATTAGAATAAATATATAATATTTCAAGAGACCAAAAAAATAAACATAAACTTTATTCAAAAATAAAGAATTTAAGCTTAAATTTAAATATTTTTTTTTTTTTTAAACATGCAAAGAACTACATAAATTAAAAAAATAAACAAATCTTATACAAATAAAAAATTTCTAATATTTATTTAAAAAGTTCATTTTTTTTTAGACATTAATTTTCTTATATAAAATTCAAGTTCTTTTCCTTCTAAAATATAACCATCACATCTGCCAGATTATCCTGGTCTTGATGAAATACAAGCTAATATTCTTTAAGAAGGGAATTATTCTTCTACTTTAGGATCAATAATTCTATTTTTTTGTCTTATCACTCTTTTTTCAACATGTCTGGATTTTTCTTTATTTCCTAATACAGATTAGGCACCACCTCCTTTTTTAAGACCAATATCTAAACCATAATATTTTTTGTACCATTCTCTGAATGGAGTGGCATCGATTTCTACAATTGAATTTTTTACTAGAGTTTTTGTTCTGACTAATTCGTTATTTGTTGCATTATATTTAACATCTAAAATTTTAGTCTTTTTTTTTTAATTTTATTAATAAGATAAATATTTTTTATAAATTTATTTTTTACTTTTCTTGTTATATTTTCAGATCCCCAAGAAAAATTGCCATCAAATAGTCTTAAAGCTCTGAATTTCATGTTTCCACCTCTAGCTCTAATGGGTCTAATTCTTCTTTTTTCAGTAATTGTAGTTGATTAAGTTGTTAATTTTGTTAATGCTGCTGGTCTTCCCTTTTCGAAAGCTCTCTTCTTTTTATGAATAGGCATACGACCTCCTGTTGCTCTTCTTTTATGACGACTATCTCTTGAAATTCCCATATTTTTTTCTTGATTTTTTTTTTTATATTTTTATTTATTCTTTAGTTTGTTTTGCTTTTCTTTTTTTAAATTAAAGGAAAAAATCTTTTTTTGGTTTTTGCTTTTTTTATACCTTTTATTATTTTATTTATATATTTTTTTATTTGTTATGTTATGTTATTTAAAGTTATCTATTAATATTTTACAATTTAATTAATTTTAATTATTTTTGGATATTATTTTTCTATAGAATTAATTTATTTAGAAAAAAAAAAAAATACTTATCAAGAAATTTTAATATTTAATACAATAAAAATAAAATCATTTTATTTTATTTAAAAAAAAAATACTAAAAAATTAAATCATTCATATTGAATAAAAATAAAAACGAATGCTATTTTAAAAATAAAATAAATATAAGAATAAAATAAAAATAATTTTATTTTAAATTTTAAATAAAATTTCAATTAATGCAAAATAAATTATAATTTTATTTATATTATATTAATTTAAGTAAAAAATAAAATATCAAATACATCAAGAATATTTTATATTTATATATTATATAAGAATTTCTTTTATTAAATTACGAAATCACGATATAATTTAATAAAAAATTACGCTTTTAATTCAACTAAAAGATCTTTATATTTAAATATATTTTTTTATTTTAATAATTAATTTGTTTTATCTAATTAATGATATTATTATTAAACTAAACTAATATCTAATTTTATTATAATAATACTATTTAACCAACTTAAATATTTAAATTTTGAAAATTATATTTCTTTAAAAAATTTTTATTATTTTTTTATTATATTGATTTACTTTAAAATAAATACTTTGAATTCTTTTATTTAAAACCATAATTATATCATTAAGTCTAAATTGGCTAAAAAAATCATATATTCATAGAAAAATAATCGAACAAAATAATACATCATATTTAAAAAAAGAAAAAACAAAACAAAAGGAAAGTAAAGTAAGTAAGAAAAAAAAAAAAAAAAAAAAATTAAATTAATATTAATATTAATAAAAAAATTATTAGTTTTTGTAAAAAATAAAAAAGATGAAAAACATAAAATAAATAGAAATAAATTGTCCATTTTTAACTAAATATTATAACTTAGACACCTTAAAAGGACATAAAATAACTGAAGACCTAAAAAAATATAAAAATATATGTCCTTATATTTAATAATAATCCCAATTTTCTTGTTAAAAATAGCCTGAATAATAAATATAAAACTTTAATTTGGAATGTCCTTTTAAGAAAAACGTAAACTTGGCAACAATAAAATAAAGACAAATCGAATAATCACTAAACTTATGTCCTTTTTTGACCTTGTTTCAAATCCCAAAAACAAACTAAACGGTTGAAATTTAAGAAACATTAGACATGCCATAAAACCATTTATAACATAAAACGCATATAAGAGATTTTTCAATAGCTTAATAATAAGAATATAGTAGATATAATGATATATTTTCTTCTGCATTATAATCTTTAAAAGATGAAGGAAAATATAGAACTTTTAATTATATTAAAAGAATTGCTGGAGAGTTTCCTTTGGCGTCATATACAGATGCAAATACTGGTTAAACAAAAAAAATTACCGTTTGGTGTTCTAATGATTATCTTGGAATGGGATAAAATCCCATAGTGTAGGAAGCTATGATAAATGCTATTTTAGATACAGGAGTAGGTGCAGGAGGTACGCGAAACATTGGAGGAAGTAGTGTATATCATACAGAGTTAGAAAAAGAAATCGCTGATTTGCATAATAAATAAGCTTCTATTATATTAAGTAGTGGGTTTGTGGCTAATTAAGGGGCAATAAATGCTATTACGAAAGTCTTAAAAGATGTAGTTTATCTTTCAGATGAAAAAAATCATGCAAGCATTATTGAGGGAATAAAAAATAGTAGGGCCGATAAGATAGTTTGGGAACATAATAATATTGAAGATTTGGAAAAAAAGTTAAAAAGTATTCCTTATGATAGACATAAAATTATAATATTCGAATCTGTATATTCTATGTCTGGATCCATTTCTCCAATTAAGTAAATTGTTGATTTAGCTAAAAAATATAATGCAATGACTTTCATTGATGAAGTACATGCTATTGGCCTTTATGGAAAAAGAGGAGGTGGTATAGCTGAATAAGAAGGAATAATGGATTAAATTGATATTTTTTCAGGAACTTTAGGAAAAGTAAATATAATATATATATATATATATATATATATATATTTATATATATATATATATATTATATATATATATATATATCTTTATATATATATATATTATATTTTTATTAAAATCTAGGCTTATGGATGTGTTGGAGGATATATTTCAGCTAATTCACTAATTATTGATTGTATCAGAAGTTTTGCTTAAAATTTCATTTTCACTACTTCTATTCCACCTTGTGTAGCAAGTGCTGCTAAATCTTCAATTGCTTATGTAAAGGAGCATAATGTATTTTTTTATCTTAAAAAAATAAATCAATTAAAATATTTTTTTTTTTTTTAGGAATTGAGATAATAATTGCATTATGTTGCTAGGTAAGTTAAATTTTAATGTGAGCAAAACAAAATACCTATAATTCCTAATAAATCTCATATTATTCCTATTTTTATTGGTGATGCTATAAAAGCTAAAATGGCAAGCGAAATTCTTTTGAAAAAATTCAATATATATGTTTAACCTATTAATTATCCTACTGTTCCTAAAGGACAAGAACTTTAAGAGTTTCTCCGACTCCTAATCATAATGAAGAAATGATTGAATAACTTGCTTTTGCATTAAAGTATGTTTTCGAAAAATTAGAGTTAAGATAATCTTTTGCTAGTAAATTTTAAGAGTTATGTGAAAAATAAAAAAAAAATGAAGATTATGAATAACTTGAAGTTTAAATGACTATGTCATGATTATATTGATTTTTTATTAAATATTATATATGAATTTTAAATAAAATTCATATATAAAAAAAAGAAAATAATATACATATATTAGTTTATATTATTACTTTATATATTTATTTATTTCGAAAAATCATATTAATAATTATTTTATTTATATATTGATGTCTTTTAATAAAATATGAAAATTTGTAAGCATTTAGAATATAAATGATGTTAAACGGTCTAAATTATACAATATATTAAATTCGGATAGAAGAAACAATTAAAAAAATAAAAAAAAACTTCAGAAAAAAATATTAATAATAATACGGAAATATATGTAAATGTTATAAAATATATTTGATATAAATATATATAAATATATATATATATATATATATATTTATATATATATTATATATATATATAGTATTTTTTAATTATTAATAAATATTATATATTATAATTTTTTTTATTTATTAATCATAATTAAAATATTAAAATAATATTACTGAAAAAATATATCAATTAAAATTTAAACTTATAAGATCATTTAATTTCTACGCTTTTTATTAATTATGTCCTTCTTATCTTTTTCTTTTTGTTCATTCTATCTATATTGTTTTATTTGACCATATCTTATTAGTCTTTTTATTTTTTCCATTCATTTTAATCTTTTAATCTTTTGAGTCTTTTTCATTTTTCCATTTTTTAATTTTTCTAGTCTATCCAGTATTTCATGTCTTTCCATTCTTTTCACTCTTTTCTGTCTTTTCACTCTTTCCAGTCTTTCCTGTCTTTCCTGTCTTTCCTGTCTTTCATTTTTTCCATTTTTTCTTTCTTTACAATTTTTTCTTTCTTTACAGTTTTTTCTGTTTTTTTAGTCTTTTTATTCTTAAAATTAACATCACTAGCTATAAAATTTTAAATAATTTCATTAAATAAAATAAATTATTAAGAAATATTATTAAAATTTAATAAATTTTATATATAATTATAATGTGTTTACAAGAAATGAATATTTATTAAAAATAAATTATTTAAGATAATAGATTTAAATATTATTATTTATAAATAAAACTTATTAAATTTATTTTATAATTATTTTATATTTATTTTATATATTTATATATTTTTTAAAAATATTTAAATTTAAACTAATTTAAAAAAAAATGAAAAGTAATTTTTATTAAGATTAATTATGCAATTAAAGTTAATGTAAATATATTTTAAGTTTAGAAATTATAAACCATATATTAAAAATAAAAAGTATAATTTTTCTGTAGAATCAAAACTTATGAGGAAAGTGAAAAAAACATATTTTCTGGATGTGATGATATAGGAAAAACCGTTGTTGCATCTTAATTTTGTTAGAAGGAAAAAAATGTTTAAAGTGTATATAAAAACGATAATGATTTATAAAAATTAAATGAAATATTTGAAGATAATAAAATAAATATTTTCTCTTTTGATAATGTATTTGGATAAAAATCAAGGTAATTATATATATATTTTTTATTGTTTAAGTAAATATTTATAAAAATTAGCTAAGATATATTCTATAGAAAAACAATAAAAGTTTAAATTAGTAATTTGTTTGAAGGATAAAATTAATCTATTTTAATATATGGTCCATCTTCGTAAACAATTTTTTTTTATTTTTACGAAAAATATAAAAAAAAGATCTGGAAAAAGTTATACATTTTGCGGAAATAAAAAAAATGAAAAAGGTTTAATTTTTAGAACTTGTGATGATTTATTAACGAAAATTGAATCTCAAAATCTATAAAATAACAATTAAAAATTATAGTTATCAATATTTTCGATATATAATTTTGAAATATATGATTTATTAAATATAAATTACAATAATGATTAAGATATATATGTAAATAATATAAAAATAAAATTCAATAAAATAAAAATAAAATAAAGGAAATTATATAAAATGAAGATAATATAGAAATATATGGTTTAACTAAAAATTTAATAAGTTAAAAAAGCGATTTTAAATAAAAATATTTATAAGCGTTAAATAATATGAGCCAAATTGGAAAAAAATTAAAAGATAAAAAGTTTTATGAAAAAAGCCATATAATAGTATAATTTACAATTAATAATGAAGATAATTCAAAATAAAAAATAAATATAATCAGATTAAGTGATTCTGATATAGATTCATAGTATACAAAAAATGATTTCTAACTATTATAATAGTGTATTAGTCAAAAAATTCAAAATAAAGATAAAATAGCTTAATAATCTAAACTTATTACAGTTATAAAAGATACTTTAAATGAAAACTCATATACTTAAATAATTATTTGTATTTCAGATTCTTAAAAGGCTTATGCTTAAACATAAGAAGCATTATATGTAAATATATAAAATATATATAAGTATATATATATATATATATATATATATATATATATATAAATATAAATATTTATTTCTATAAAATCATATTTATTTTTTATTTTTATTAAGTACATTTAAAATCTATAAAATGAAATTCTATTAATATAAAATTTAAATAAAAAACCAACTGTTTCTAATATTAATAATACATTAAAAACAAGTTAAAGTAATATTTTAAATAAATAATTAAGCTATAATTCTTTAAATAATAATATTATAAATAATAATAATAATTATAATAATAATAATCATAATAATAACATTAATAATAAGTATAACAATAATTTTAATAATAATTATTCGTTATTACATCCTTCTTAATAATCATTTAAATATAATACAAATTATATTAATAATTAATAAACTGTAGATACACATACTTAAAATTAAAATTATAATACATCTAATATATCCGAAACTAATTTTCTATCTTTTGAATTAGAAAACCTATTTAATGAAATTAGAAAACAAGGAAAAGCAGTTTAAAATTTTTCAGAAAATGAAAAAAATGATTGGATTTAATAAAAAATAAAGTACTTAAATTAAATTTAAATTTAATTAGAATAAAAATAGTTTTCCAAAGATGTAATAATTAATTTATATAAATTATAATTTAAAATTATAGGTTACTTATTGTGAAACCTTAATTAATAAATGCCAAAGATAATTAAGACTATTATCAAATTCAAATTATTTTTATTCTGAATAATTAAAATCTCCTCCTTGTAAATAAAACTCTTCTCAAAATAATTCGCTTAAAAAAGATTTTTATTTATATAAAGGAAAAGAGGATAAACTAGAAAAAGATTTTGTTAAACTTCTTGATCGATATAATCATTCTAAAGAACTTGTAGATTAATTAAATAACTAATCTATTCATTAAAAAAACTCTTTTATTAATAAATCTCCTATATTAGGTATCGTAGGCGATTAGTAATAAAAAAAATTCCTTTCTCCACCTGAATAATTATCAAAATTATAAAAAATGAATACTGACTCTTCTGATTTCTTTGATAAATCTAATATTAAAATGGTCAGAATTTAAGCGAACAATATATAGGATGATAGTGATGAAGATGAATAAAATAATTATCAATTAAAACCATAAAAAAGCAAAATTTTAAATAATAGTAATAGCAAGAATGTAGAAAAAGCTTAATAAGGTTAAAATAAACTATAGAATATAAAGAAAACATCGAATAGGATAAAATAAATAAACTATAATAAATTATAAACTAATAAGACGAATAGATTCAAAATTTTATCATTAAAGAGTAAGCTTGGACAGCTAATGAAAGAAATCTTGTTGATTAAATAGGTTTTTTATTTATTTTTTATTATTTTTATTTATTTTAATATTAGATGATTTAGAAGTTAAACTTCAAAAGATGAAAAGTAAACATTAACAAGAAACTGAAAGAAAACAAGAAAAACTTATTTAGTTAAAAAATAAAGTTTTAGAATAATAAAGAGTAAATATTTTATTATTTATATATAGATTTTTTTCTTCTTCTTTTTATTAATATATTTTTCATAAGTTTCATAGTTAAGTTGAATAAAAATATTAAAGTTAAGTTTTTGAATTAGAAGATAAATTAAAAAAAACCAATACTTAATTGGAAAATGTTTTTTTATTTTATTTTGTTATTTATTTATTTTTTTTGATAAAAAAAGGAATTAAATTAAATTGAATTTAGAGTTGAATAACTTTTAGAAGAAATTAATAATCACAAACAGGAAAATTAAGATTTGAAAAAAAAAGAAATTGAAATGAAAAAAGTTATCAATAATAATAGAGATGAAATAGATGTATTATAATAGAAAATCATGAAAATTAAAAAATCAAAAAAATAATTATAAACGCATTTAAAATAAGTATTTCAATTATAAATAAAAAATAAGTATTAATTAATTTATATTTTTAAACAGGTAGAGGATAAAGTTAAAGATTTTATGAATGAAAGAACTATTGAGATTTAAAGTTAATAAAATAAAGCAGAAAAAAGTCAAAAAAAAAACTTTAAGTATTTTTTTAATTAAAAATAATTTTATACATTTTTTTAATAAATTTATATTATTTTAATATTTAGGTTCTGGATGAAATTTAAAGTATGATAAAAAATCATAAATAATATAATTCTAATAAGCTTTAAAAAATTACATTATAATGAATTTGAAGTGAATTTTCATTTTTATTTTATAAATATTTTTATAAAAAAAAGAAATGTATTTTTTTATTTTTATTTATAATTATTATTAACGAAAAATAAACAAATTTTTTAATATTTAGAAATTAATAAAATAAGATATTCTGATATAAAAAATTAATCTTTTTATTAAAATATTTTATATAAATTATATATATATTTAAAAATATATATGTATATATATATATATATAAAATTAATATTTTTAATAAATATAAAATATTTTTATATATAATACAAAAATATAATTAATTAATTAATTTTTATTTATTTTTTTTAAAAAAATTAAGAACAGAATTTATTTTTTATTTTATTAAGAAAAAAAAATATAATTTATGATATTATTCATAAATAATTAATATATAATAATAGCAAATAATTAGATTTTTTTATATATATATTATATTAATTTTATATATTTATTTATATTCATTATAATTAATTATCTTATTTTAAAAAATTTATAACATAATAATTTATTGATGATTAATAGATTTTAAAAAAATGATAGAGCTTATTTTTAATAAGAAAATATATTAAAGCTATTTTTAATATATAATAATAATATATTATATATATAATATAATATATTTATTAAAATATAAATAATAATAAAATGACTTTAAGAAATTCTAAAATAAAATATTTATAATAAAATATAAATTAAAAATATATAATCATAAAAAATTGATATATAAAAGAAAAAAATTAATAAAAAATGGAAGAAATACACGAAGTATAAGTTTTGTAATCAGTACCTAATGTTAATTTATTTCGTTTAGTCAATAACTAAAAATTTTTAATATCGAAAAACGAATTGAAAATATGTAAATTATCTGAATAGAATGTATATTATATTAATTAAGAGGATTTTTACTTTACAATACAAAAGTAAGTCAAGTTTTTAGTTGTTCCTTTCTAAACACATAGAACTTACCTATTTTCACATATAGATAAAGGATTTAATGCCATATATGTATAAGCAGATGAATCAACATTAAATTAATTAGAAAGTATGTTTTAAAATTTGGCTATATTAATTACTAAAGAAACTTTACTTGAGTAAAATGAATAGTTAAAAAATGAAATAAATGAACATTGTACAAATATTTTCGAATAACCATTAATAATGGATGATAATGCTATACATTATATTAAGAAAGGAGGAAGTTTACTAAAAGATACATTCAGTTGGATAGGTTAGTAAGCTTCTTTAGGAATAAGTACCGCTGGAAATTATATAAATTCAAATATTTCAAATACAAATAATATTCAAATTTCAGATAGTACAAAGGAAAAATTCTAATCAATAAGAAAAAAAACTAAATCAACACTTCATATTACAGGAAATATTCTTCATACTATACTAAATCCATTAGTCGAGGCTACTAATTAAATTGCTTCTGGTAAAATTATATAAATATATATTTTATAATTTAATTAAATAAATAAAATAGATGTAAATAAAAAATCGATTAAAGTGATAATGATGTACTTAAAAAAGTAAAATAATATGGATTAGTAACTATTGAAGCTGCAGGGAATGCTGTAAATGGAATTGCAACAGGAGTATCTTTGTTAGGTTAGGCTTTAGGAGAAAATACAAAAAATATTATAGAAAAAAAATATGGAAATAATATTACGAATATATTATATGAAGAATAAATAAATAATAAATGTTAAGAAACTAAAAATAATATAGAAGAAATGACTTTATAATAATAATAGTAATAATAATAATAATAATAATAATAATAATAATAATAATAATGATTATAATAATAATAATAAAATATTTTATGATTTAATAAAAATTAATTTTCTCTTTTAAAAAATAAATCACAAATTAAATAAATTTGTTAATTTATTTATTTTTATTATATGTTTTAAATCAATTTAACTTTTTCAATGGCAAAAAAAATATTATACATTATAAAAATTATTAATTAAAAAATATTTAAATATTTCTAATCTCATTTATCCATATTATAATAACTCTTATTATTTATTTTTTAATAATTTTAATTTTTTTTTTTTTTATTATTAATTGATTATATTATTTTAACAAAAATTTTATTTTATTTAGTATTATATAGATAAGATATTATTTTTCAAAATTTTTGTGTTATATTTTATTTAAATATTTTATTAAAATAAAAATATGAATATAATATGATATTATTAATCATAATATTTTATATAATTATATATAAATAAATTTTAAATATAAATAATTATAATTAAAAATCTATACAATAACTTATATTATAACGTAATTAATTTAATGCCTATCCCAATATTTTTTTTTATATAATATACTTAAAAAAAAATGTGAATATAGATTAAAAAATAAATAAATTAGATATATTATAAAAGTTATTATTGATATTCTAAATATTAATAAATCATTTTCCGAATGTAATTCCAACTTATTTATAATGTTCATCAATTTTCTTTAAAGCATTAATATAAACTGCTTATCTTAAATTAACTAAATATTTATTTTAAGTTTCAATACATGCATTTAGAGCAGATTCGAATCCTTCTTATAATCCACTAAAAACAAGATCTTACTAAATTATTATAAAAAATATATATGTATAAAAAATAAATATAAAAATATATAAATTTATATTTATATATATATTTATTTTTATATTTATATTTAATATAAATATTCATAAAATTTTTATTTATATATATACATTTATTTATTTATATATTATTTATATTTTTTTTTATTATAATTATTAATATACTTTTAATTTTTTTATTTATAATATTTTTTTTTATACTTATTTTATCAAATATTTTTTTTTATAAAATTTTATAAATTTCTTAAATTTTAAAAATTTATTTTATTTTAATTTTCTTATATATATAGAAAATTTAATTTAATTTTTTTACTTCGTTAGCTCCTTATATATCTTTGAAATAATGACTTAATTCTTATTTAATTTTTAATCCTGTTTCTTCTTCTATAGTTTCTAATAGTTAAATATTACTTATTAATTTTAATTTTTTTTAAATATTTTTTATTTTTAAAAATGTTACCTTTTATATTCCCATTTTCTAGTCATTGATCCATGTGACTATGTGTGATTAATGTTTTTAATCCATTCAAAATAACCAGCTAAAAATCCCCCTGATGAACAAATAACATCAGGAATAATTTATATTCCTTTACTTTCCAATATTTTTTCAGCATTCGGGGTTACACTAAGATTGGCAGCTTCTGCAACTATTTTGCATTAAAATTTGTCTGCAATTTATTAATATATTGCTTTCGCGAAATAAGAAGGAATGAAAATATCACATTTTTAAAAGGCAACGTCTTTTATAGCTTTAGCTTTTGAATATCCTTTAATACCTTTATTCTTTAGTAAGTAATCATTAATATCCTAAGCATCAATTCCTATTTTATTATTGATATTAATATTTAAATTAAAAAAATAAAACCTTATTCATTATAACATTCTCCATCATGTTCAATAACTCCAATTAGAATTCCTCCTGCTTCTTATAAGAATTTCGAAGCCCAATATCCTACGTTTCCATATCCCTATAAATAATTTAATTTATTATTTATATTTTATTTTTATGTTATTACTTCAACTATAAATTTTTTTCCTTTAATACCTTATGTTATTCCAGCTTTTTAACAAAATTCTTGCTAATTTAACAAATATTATATAGTAAAATAAACACAAAATCCTGAAGATTATAAAGCTCCATTCAATCCGCCTTAATTCTTTTTTTTTAATTTAGTTTTAATAATTTAAAAATAAAAATTAAATATATATTTTGATTCATACTAAGCTTTTTCCAGTTGCACAAGCTTATGCATCAATATCATCTTATCCATAAAAGCTATTTATTTTTATTATAATTTTTTTAAAAAAATAATAATAATTAAATAAATTACAATGTATATGTATCTTTTATCCAGTTCATTTCCCTTTCAGTACTTCCTAAATCAGTACCCTTGTTAAAAAATATGAAATCGATTTTTTTAAAAAAAAACCGGTATATCTATAGAACTTCCAATAATTCCTTTTTTTCCGCATTCAACTATATATTTTCTAATAATAGTTTCTATTTCATTATCTGTATAATCTTTAGGATTTATACAGATAGCGCCTTTAGCACCTCCATGAGGCATATTTAAAGCTACTGCCCTAATTGAATTTAAACATGCAAAAGCTTCAATATCTTCTTTGGTTATATTTTTATTAATAATTAAACCTCCTCTAGTAGGTAATTTGTAAGTTTTATGTTATGTTCTATAACCTTTGATTATTTCTAATTTACCGTTCTTTCTTATTAAAGGAATTGTTATTTCTAATGTATTGTCACAAGATTTATAGAATTTTATTTTTTCCTAATCGATGTTTGTGTAACTAGCTGCTTAATCCATATATTTATAAACTATGTAATCTATAGTGCCTGATTTTGTTCCAGGTTTAGATATCTATTAACTTTTTGTTTTATGATAGAGTGGATTATTTAATAAATAATTATAATAAGGTTTTCTTAGACATTTGATTATCATTTTTTTTAGTTTTTATTTATTTAATCTATTATTATTAAATTATATTTATTTTAAAAAAAATTCTGTTATTTTTTTTTTTTTTAAAAAATAAAATTAAAATATGATGTAAAAAATATTCCTTAAAATTTAAATATTGTAAAAGTATATAAAATAATTATAATATTTATAAAAAATATATATTACAAATACTACACTATATATATATAAAATAAAATTGTAACATAAAAAAAAATATTACATATTATTAAATATTTTATTTAAATTAATTAATTTTATTTTTTTTAATATTAATTTAATGAAATTTTTTATATTTTTATTTATTTAATCTATTATTCTTATATTTATTTAAAAAAAAAATCAGTTTTTTGATTTTTATTTTCCTTAAAATTTAAATAATGTGAAAGCAAATAGAAAAAAAAAATTAATTATAAAAAAATTAAAAATTAATTATATATTAAATTAATTTTAAAAATATAATCATCATATTAAAAAAGATATATATAAATATAAATAAATAAAATTATAAGTAATTTAAAAATATAAGAACTAATAATTGAATTCTCAAATAAATATGATTATTAAAATATATTAATTAAAACTAATTATTATAATAATATTTAATATTAATTTATTAATACAGAAATTTTTATTTAAAAATTTCTATTTGATTAGTGTTTATTTAATTTTTTTATTAATTAATCAATATTTATATAAAAAAGGTTAACCTCTAAATTAATTTTATTAATAACATATAATTACTAATGTAAACAAACATTTATAAATACATTATTTACACAAAGTAATAACTTAAATTAAAAAAATGTAATTATTCAATCAATAAGTCATCTAGTATTCTACTTTTAACTAAATATATAATCATAATAGAGAATATATATATTTTTTGTAAATCATTTAATTATATAATATAATTAAATAATATAGAAAAGAAAGATTATCTGCATAAAATTCCGAAAGCGAATTGAAAAATCTATTCAAGTTAAATTGAACAAAAACTAAATATAAATCATAAAATATAGGATTCTTATTATATTTATATAAATGAAAATATTTCTAAAATAAAATTTTAAATGTTTTGCTCATATTTCTTTTTTAAGAGCAATAAATATGTAGTAACCTTTTATTATTATTTTTTCCTCATAAAATGAAGAATAATATTAATTTAATTAATTGTATTTTTTAATAAATGATTAACATTATTTCCCTCTCATAAAATTTTATTTATAGATATTTCGAGACATTGTTATCTTTAAAAAGTATAAAAATACCATAAAAGAAGGACTTTTAATTGGTAAAATAAATGCTTTACACATCCACTTTACAAATTCTGAGAGTTTCTCAATAGAACTTACTTATTATCCAAATATAGCAAAACACTGGACCTATAAAATATGGAGTAATAGTAATACCGGAAATATACACCCGTTATTGGTCATATGATCAGTCTTTGAAAGATATTTACTTGAGTTAAAATTATCCAAAAAAAAAAATTGGAGTTCATTTGATACAGGAACTCCTTTTAGTTAATTAGATGTAACTTTAAATAATACTTTGGAAATATTTAAGCGAGTAATAGAAGATTTAGATTCGTTTTTTTAAGAAAAATATATTAATTTTAGATGAGAGAATTAAAAACAGACTATTAAATAGTTTATGAAAGAAAAAGGTTTTGAAATCAATTTTTAATTAAAGACTTATTTTAGGAATATTTAGTAATATATACTAAATAAGACTTAGTTAAGTAAATACAGGATTTATTTTGTTCAAAGGTAATAATATTGTAGCATTTACATTAGATATTTTCTCGTATTGGAATACTGATAGTAATTAATATCTGCTTTAAAAAATTACTATAATGCTAAAATAATGTTTAACCGAATACAACATAAAGAGAATGTTGTCTAAATAACACACAAAATTTCAAGAATTATAACTTCATATGAATGCTCTGTTCCGGATAAAATTTTTCTACTAAAGTGCTTTTCTTTACTTCCATAATAATTCCTAGATTTCATTCAAATTCTATATTATAAAATCAATATATGTAGGTAATAAACAGTACCTGTTCTTGCTCAACTCTTTTAATAGTTAATATTATTAACGAAAAATGTATATATACGTTCAATTAAATATTCAAATCCTCAAACACTTGCGTATTTCCAGGAAACTAAAAACTAATAAATCAAGAATTTAAATATCCAGGAAACTATATTTCTTCCAAAATCGATTTAACCAATTTGTATATCCTGGAAATATAGAATTAATTATAAATAGTGATAATCTGTTTAGGAAATATGACTTTTAATTATACCAATGACAACTTTTATGTCAAAATGACAAAATAACATGAATTTAGGTTCAACCGAAAGAGATTTTTATTGTAAAATAATCTATTAACCAAAACCAGATATGATGGTACTTAATGAAGCGTATGTATTTCATTTCTATTTATTATATTCTTACGTATAATTATCCTTTATATGTGCTTAAAAAAAAGTTATTCTCATAGATTATTCATACGGTTGTTATTCAATACAAATATATATATGTATTAGTGTAAATGCTTTTAAATCAAAATAATAATTTGATTAAATTAATAAAGAATGTAAATACAATCCCATAAATAGCTAAAAAAAAAAATATTTTTGTACTTGACATATAAGTTTGTGTTTAGTAAAAGAAATGTATTAATGTATTTATCTCTTATATATAACACTTTAAATTCTTATGTATACTAAAAAAAATATAGAATCATGTATATAATGCATAATGTTTAACCTTATGGATATTGAAAACAATATTAAGTTACTTCAAGTTTAAAATATAAAATAAAGATACTAATGATATTTACTTAATTAATACTAAAAAAAAAAATACAAATTTAATAAAAAATTGGTAAAATATTTGGTATTAAAACTAAATCTAAAAAAAAAATTAAATATTAAAATAAACTTATAAAAATAGGAAAAAACTAAATAAAATTAAAATAAAAAAAAAATATTTTCTGTTAAATATATAGCAAGAATTCAAAAAAATAATAAAATTAATTTTTAAAAAGAAAATTAAAACTAAGTTATAAAATATTTAATTTTTAAAAATAATAATATAAGATAAATATAATATAATTAATTATATTGATCAAAGTATATATAAAAATAATTTATATAATAATAGAAAAAAAGAAAAATATAAATATATAAATAAATAAATATATATATATATATATATATATATATATATATTTATATACATTTTAGTTTTATAATACATTTATTTATTTTTTTTAAATTTTTTTTTTATATTAATTTTTTTATTTTTTTTTAATATAAATAAAATTTATATATATATATATATATATATATATATATTTATATATTTTCAAATTTCTGTCTTTCACATATCTTCTTATTTTAATGCTTTTAGCATTTCTTAATATCAATGCTTCACATACTTTTTGATTACATTTTTTTCCTATATTTGTTTACTTTTTTCTATAAATTTTTAAATTAATTTGTTAATATATTTGTTTTTATCCTATTTAACAAAACTTTTCCATAAACAAAACAGTTCTTCTATTGGGTTAAACATCGGTGTATATGGTGACCCATATACTATGTTTAATTTTTCTTTTTAGCCATTTAATATTTAAGAATGATGAATTTTACAATTATCTAAGTAAAATACATAATTATTTATATTATTTTTTATTTATATATTATTATTAATCAAATTTGCTATAAATGCTCCGAAATCTTATGCTTTAAACCCATTTTATAGGGATTAATATCCAATTATTTTCATTTATATATATATAATTTAATCCCCTATCTTCTTATGTAATTATTTTTGGAATTTTTTAAATCCTCAAACCTTTAGTTCTATCATTATTTATGTTTATAGTATATGATTTAATTTTTTTTTTGAAAATTAAATAAGTTTTAGCATTTTTTTTATTAGTTAATTATTCCATTTCAATTAATCCTCAAATTATAAATTTAATTATTCAATCATTTTTTTATAAGTTAATGGTTATTTTTCCTATTCTATAAAGTTTTTTAATAAGTCTAAATGATATTTTTATAATTTATTTGGTCTTCCAATTTTTAATTATGAAATATTTTTTTCTTTTTTAATTAAATTTTTAATATTTTAGACAAAGCTTTTAGTATAGCAAGTTATATTTTGTATTTCTTTAACACTAAATTCATTTTATAACAAATCAAAAACTTATTAATATTTTTCTTATTTTTATTTATCTTATATTTTCATGTCTAAATTCTTTCTTACTTTTTTTTTAAATAGGTTATTAATTTCCACTTATTTCTTCTTATAATAATGAAATAAAATATTTAATTTTTTATTCAAGCTATATTTAAGAATAATTTTATATGTATATTTATTTTTTAT